AATAAGCCCTTCTCTCAACCACCTTGCATTGTTCAGTTGCTAACAGTGGCAGAGTAGACTCAAAGTAAAGATTAATTACTCATTAATTACTCATCTGGTGAACTGAGAACAAGAGCCCATCTTGGATGCAGCCCTCCCTTGTTCCAGTGATGAAGACTGTGACGACAGGAGAAAAGGGAATAGGTAGAAAAACTGCTTCAGATGTTATCTGCCTTAAGACGGATATAGATTCTGACAATCTTAAACTATCAGATACCTAACTATTTCAATTATTTTTTTCTAATGTACTGTTTCTTTGGACTCTACAACCCCAGAGCTGCAAACTCATTGTGATGAACTTGGTGTCTTGGCCATATCATCTTTCTATTACCATCATATTCCCTGTTTGCAGTTAGGTAGGCTGGGAAGGTTTGTACAAGTTTTCAGTAGAAGGGTATGTGGTGTGCTCACATGCTCTGTCCCTGTGGCAATCCCCAATACTGAGGCTGGACAGGAGCTTGTGTGGGTGACAAGTGGGAAGAGTACTTGACACAAGAGAACAGCTGTAGGCTACCCAAGTAGCCTGTAATCACAGGACCAATGCTATGCTCATGTGTGATAGATTTGTTCTCCCTGATCACTATAGATTTATTTTCTTATTCTTCAGAATTATTACTTGTGTCTTAATGACAGTTAAAGATGTAGTACATTAACATATATTTGCATTTTTAATATCTAGTCAGAAATATTGATCTACTTCAAACAGCATTAAAAACCAACAATGCTATCTTCAGCAAATCATTTGGAACTATATGACAAGGTGTCACTAAATTTTGCAATGTTTTCTTGTCTATGAGGGTGGCAAGCTGAAGTATGGAAAAGATAAATGAAAATATAAGGGTTAAATTAGAGGATGGACAATAAAAAAGCTTAAAATTATTTATTATTTAAAATTATTTAAAAGATATATTTAATTATACATCTAATTTATGCAGATGTGCTGTAATTGTTGTGGGTGGCTACTCTCAATATCTACCTCCTACTTAAGCATGAACTCTTATTTTCTGCACATCATATCATAGTTGTATGGTGCAAATTTAACCCAGTAATCTAGGTTTTGAGATAACTCAAGAGTTAAAAATTTCAGTGCTAAAATATCTGCTGCATTTGTAAAAGTTTCATGTCCTTAAAATGTAAAGGAGGTAGAAAAGGATTCACATGCCTTAATGTGGAATGTAGCAACTGACTGTCTGCTCCTGTAAATAGTGTTTTATGTAATTGCTCTCCACAAATGAGCAGTAGCGTATAGGAAAGTGGAATTTTCTTACATTAGAGTTATTGTGTTCCTTGCTATTTTAGTAACTGACCAGATGCAGCGTAGAGCAAAAACCTGAATTTCATAGAGCTTGCTAACTTAATTTATCTAAGTGATGATACAGTGGGGTGAGTGACAGAAGATTAACTGGGGAATACTTTTTTTATCAGTCAGGTTACATTATTAAAATGAATTTAGTAGTCTTCACACTGAGAGCTATACATTTTCAGAATTCTTGATTATTTTTCTGTATGAGCAGCAGCAATCAAGGGGAAGGGCATTACTTGCATTTTTGGGGCAAATTTCATAACTAGATGGGCCTATATTAGAAAATACTTAGATTCTATCTAGTTTTAAATTTTAACAAGAGTATATTTTTATTCTTGAATTGAATGTATTTTGAAATTGAGGATATCTGAATGGAGTTTTTAATATTTTTACTTTATACAGCCAGTAACAGAAGGAATTCTTACATTATAGAGAGTGCACTACTACAGGAGTAACTAAAGAAATTTTTTGTTTGTATCTCAAAGCATTCACATATTCTCAGATATTTCTAAATGGATCAAAGCATCTGGTCTATATTAATGTGTCTTGATACTTAGCATAGAGAGTTGTAGTAACATTCTCTTTAGCACCTAAAGTTTTCTGAGTAGTATCTTCATGTAATTAGCAAAACAAAAACCCACAGATACAACTTCCTTCTTCTGGTTGATATGGAAGCAGAGCTGTCAGGTGGGAAGGAGCCAGCCTACAACAGCTCGTTTGCCTTTTAAGTGAGCTGGATTATTTTAAAAGTTTGGTTGAGCATGAAATCCCATTACTCAAGTAGAGTATGTGTAGTATTATTGATATTAATGTTAGCAGGCTGGAATTCAGCAACATTGGGCAAATGCATGAAATGTTTTATAATATACATATAAGAAAGTATCTTTTCTGGGAACTTGAACTAACTCTCTGTTAAATACTTGGTTCTATAGAGGTTGTGTAGACCAGAATTGAAGGGCTTTCTTTCTGTCTTATACAACATTTTCCAAATACTGTCATGTTTTTATGTCTCCGTCACTTTGTAGATGCTCACTCCTTTATTCTATGAACAATACATGTTTGAAGGGTACTTCTCACTGTGAATATAATGATTTTTATCTACTGCTGGTGCACAAATTAAAGGCAGTCTGCACTATGTTGCAGCCTGTTACCAGTTTGGTAATCACTTAGAATATTTGCCCCATACTCAAATGACTGTTGAGTGGAGAATTACCAAATCTATTACAGAATTGCCTGAATGAACCTGAATTAATCTGTAATAAAACTTTCTCAGCAAGAAACAAAGAATCATGTAGCTCTGTGAGCATGTGATGACATGAGTTTTTCAAAACTAGAGCAGAAAACAGATGACACTCTGCATGAATTGCTCATTTGCAGCAGGTGCGAGATGGTCCATTGCTTGTGAGATGATATAAATGTTTATCTTAGTAGTGCACAGTAAACTCTGTGGGTGGAATGGTTTTATATTTAGAGAAGGTAAATCCCTTGGGAAGCACTACCACGGTAGCTCTTTGCCTTCTCAGTTGGATGTAGGCATGTCTTTTGGTTATATGTGTTTATGTATAAATAACAAAATGCAATAGGTGAATTGCCTCGAAACTGCTTTAAACAGAACTGCTCCTTGTTCTCAGTGTTGCATGTACATGTGTATATAACATAAGTATGTGTCTATATATGTATTGGACTGCCTTAAAACCCACATAAAGAAATGGACATGCAGAGAAGTAAACAGGTTTTCAAGAGCCCAGGATGTTGGCAGAGATTGACAATGTGTCTCTTGGCCTCATCCCATTAATATTAAAATAATATTTTCTTGATGAAAACCTAACCAGAGAAGTGTTACTGTTAATTTGATTACAAGATAATTTTGAAGCATTTTTTCTGTCCTCACCAGCCAGGCACCCCTTATGGCACTTAACCTGTTGTGTTGGCTTCATGCTCTGATGAGGGTTTTTCAGTGCCTATTTCATGTAACACCGTCATTTGAAACAGCAGTGAACTGTTATTCTCACAGTTTATTTGAGACTGACGTGCAAGACAAAGGAAAATGTGTCAGCTGGAGGAAGTGCTCTGCAGCAGGTGGAGAACACGTTATTGCTAACTTCACACAATAAAAATGCCTTTTGAAGTGTTTTCTGAAAGTCATACTCGCCCCCGTTCAGCAAGTGCTCTGTGTGTCATGCTTATCCTACTCAAAAAAAAAAAAAAGAGTAAAGAAGATTCATCACACTTATGCCAGCTTCTCCTTAGCACTCAGAGTCAATGCATTTCACAAGTCGTGGGAATTGTTGTCAAAATAGAGTAGCTGAAAAGCTCCGCTACCTGCTGTGAAATATTAATGGAGACCTCTCTTGCCAAAATTGTACCCTGCCTTACCTTCCAGGGTGGAGGGGGGTGGCAGCTGCCCAGCCAGCAGCTCTCCAGCCATCACTGGTACAACCCAGCTGTGTCAGAGAGAGCTGACTTCACACATACATTCATACCAAGAGCAATTGAGTGCCTGCAGTCACAGTGCACCTTGTTTGTTTAGTCATAATATACAGCCATACTAAGATTTATTATGTTTATATGGAACACAAATGCGCTTAAGAGGTTTAAAACAGGGTGACTTACACAGGTAAATCAGACAACACTTGTCACGTTGTGAGGGTGAACAGATTTCTGTCCAAAGGACCTTGGCACTTTGCCATGAAGCTCCAGGCAGAGTGACGTGATCAGCAGGTTTTCTTGTTACGAAAATAAAATGCATTTTGGCATGTTTTTATTATTTTGCCCCCCTTCATTACACAGAATGTCCTGTGCAATTGAAAGGAAATTTGCAGCTGATTAACGCACGTTATTATTAAAACTGAAAGGGAAAGAGAAAAGGAAGGGCCAGGAGCTGCATCTCTGAATTCCATTTCCTCTGCAGGGAGTCTGGCCCATGGAGCAGAAGGTAGCTTGTGGTGGGAACAGAAGAATGCAAAGTGCAATAACCCAGGATATTTCCTTAATTAGACGTGTCCTTACTAAGTCTCTATCTTGCATGTATTTAGACTGAGGGAAAATAAGACAGATGAGAAGAAACAATTAAAATCCTGGTGATTTTATCTTATGTTCTGAGTCTAACCTCTGTGCAGATGGGAGGGATGGACAACACCATGGGCAGTGAAGTGTGTTGTCTGAGTATAGTACTGCTTGTAGTGTGTGTTTTGGGAAGCAGCTGGGATTACCAGGGTATAACTCTGGCAAACCACTGCACTCTGTGTGTATGTTCCAGTTGCCAATAGCGTAGCAGTCTGGGTTGCCGTCTGAAAACTCCTACTCAGGTTTATTCATGCTAGTTAACAAAAAGTATTTTGGTCACTTTTGGTTACTTTTTATATTTGTTTGCTGTTTTAGGCTAAAGAAAAGCAACAAAAAGATCTTCTTAAAGTGTAGACCGATTACTTGCTACATGCTTAATGTTTAAATAATGGAGGGTGGGTGAAGTGCTCACTTCTTGGGCATGTGAAGATTTGCATACAGGCTGTTTGAAAGAGTTGTGAAACTAGAGATACAGCCAGGAGTGCTGCAGTGAGCAGTCAGAGCTCCCTGTTGTGAGCACCAACAGTGCATCTGATGTGTTTGAAGTAGCTGGGGTACCTCAGGTGGCAAAAACCTTCTGGACAAAACATTTCTAATTTATAGCAGAGCACTGTCCTGTTACTGGGACTCGCTCCTGACTTTTAGAAGATGGCATGATGGGCTCGTTGCACACTGAGGGATTCTCTATGATTGTGGCCAGCTGGATGCTGTGTGAATGCTTTTCCTCAGTGTCCTGTGTCTGCTGGCTCTGCCTGCTGAACTCCTCTGAGGTGTGTGCCACGCTTTTGGTCCATGGCTCCTCACGCTCTTGTTTGGAGGTCCTGTTGCGCTCTTGCAAGCGCTCGTGTCTCCTGCGGCACAGCAGGTGCAGGCAGCCGTAGAGCAGGACTGCGGCGATGATGAGCAGCAGCACGCTGCTGGTGAGCCAGATGCCCAGTGCCAGCTCTTTCTTGGTGTTGCTCGCCGATGCTGGGTCTCGTTCCAGTGTGTTGAACACTCTGCACTGGTCGCTGGAGGGATTTGCGGACTGGCAGGTCACACACATGATGTATGTTGTGAGGGGGGTCAGGTTTTCAACAACAAAGGAGGAGCGAGTGGTGGGCACCCTCTCTTCCCTCTGAAAGCTCTTTCTGGAGTAGCTGGACAGCATGCTGTTCCAGTTAGGGTGGTACATGATGCTGTAAAAGCTGTCGACACAACTGGCCATTTTTGGCCAAATTACCATTGCTGTGTTTCCTGTGATGTTTTGAATGGTTATTCCCATCAGGATGTTATTTGGGAGTTTTTTTTTTCTCTCTTGATGCTGATCTCCCTGTGGAAAGGGAAGATGTTCTTTGGAGAAGCTGCAGCACTGAGGATGTTGTTTGAATCTTAATAGTAGTGCTCTGTAATGTAGGAATGGAGTTTGTTAGGAAAGTATGCTCTCATCTTTGGCACTGAAGTGTAAAAATGAGAATGAAAATTCATAAAGTCTGGGGTGTTTTAAAATGTGTATTTCTCTTCCAAGTGAAAGTGTAAAGATAAACTTAGAGAAATTCAATCAGAACTGCTGCCTGTACAAGTGACCTGTTGTATCTTGAGAGATGGTGAATTTTTGCAGAATTTACAATTTACAATCACTTCCTTTCACTTTTTTTTTTTTCCTAGGTGATTGTAAAAAATGGAGCAGATGTTTTTTTCTCTAGTCTGTGTATCTTGCACTTTATGCTAAGCGGCAACAAGGGTTGGCAGGAGTGGATATTGAGGAATAAGTGTCTCTACCATCCACAAGTCTTTATTTTTGCTGGTCACAATTAGTTGAAGAACAAAAGAGTACGTGGAAATGTGACCACATATTCTTTTGTCTCTAATATCTTATGTTAGTTTCTTATTCACAAGTTCACATAGGAACACCTTCCCTATGAAGACAGGCTAAGAGAATTGGGGCTGTTCAGCCTGGAGAAGAGAAGGCTCCAGGGAGATCTTACAGCACCTTCTGGTATCTAGATACAGCAATACAGCTGAAGAGGGCTTTTTATACAGGCAAATATTGATAGGACGAGGAGGAATGACTTTAAGCTTAAAGAGGGTGTATTTAAATTGGATATTACAAAGAAATTCTTTGCTGTGAGGGCAGTGAGGCACTGGAATGGGTTGCCCAGAGAAGCTGTGGAAGGTATTCCTGCCTGTGGCCAGGGGTGTTGGAACTAGGTGATCTTTAAGGTCCCTTCCAAGCCAGACTGTTCAGTGACTCTGTGAGACTCTCTGTGTTTTGCTGTTAAGTTGCACATCTGTAGCCACTGCAGCTACACTGCGGCAGTGGCTGTGAACACTGTACATCGGTGGTATCAGTATCACAAACTTGAGCCTTGATGCTAGTCAGCCTCTTGGAAAAGCTTTGTCAAGCCTAGTGAAATACACTATAGCCTACCTTTTGGATAAATAGTGGGGATTTTTAAAAATTACTAATGCTCTTTGCTGTTTTAAGTCATTTTATGTAATCCCATAGTCTCTGTGCCCTGAATTTATACTCCTCCTCGTCCTCAATTCAAATTAGAAAATCTGCCAGTATTTTGAGATTCTCAGTATGTGTAGCCACTCTAAATAGTGAAAGGAAAGCTTCTCTTTTCTGCAATTTCTCTAAACACATCTGTTAAAGAATATATAATAACAGCCAGTGGGTATTTTCATTTGTTTGGCTTTGGTTTTATGCTTTTACTGTGGTGATGGTAACTTTTGAAAAAGAGCTTACCTCAGCAATTTATTCTGATCCCTTAGTTTGATTGTCAGTTTCCAGTGGCACTCGTGGAAGTTTTTTTTCCACTTTGAAAGTTTCTCACTTTTTTATGACTATAAATGCCCATGACAGTAACATTGTATTTCATTGTTTATGACTTTGTTGTGAAAATTAAATCTAATATATTTTTTTAAGATCAAGTTTAAAATGTTACATTTCCTGGCTAAATAACAATTAATTATTAAAAATTCTCCTAAGGAAGAAAGCTTGTGAGATTTGCTCATAACATATTCTAAAATTATTCTGTAATACTTGTATTTTATACTAGATAGGAGACTGAGAAAATGTATATTTTTTTGGATTTTTTAAAATGGGATTTAGTAGTGACATTACATTAACAGTAAGAATTCTGTGCCTGTTTATGTATGAAAATTGTTGCTCAAGGCTTTTCAATTATACTTACTGGGAAGTGGGAAGAAAAATATATATGTTTATTTTCATGACAATGTAAAACCATGGATATGACTGATCTGGGTAGATGCTGCTTTTCTAATTCTGTGGTAAAGGCACCCTTTTTAATACAGCAACGATATAAAGGAAGTGAATTTGCAATCAGATAAACTTACCAAACAGACACATTTTGGCATCTACCCAGCTACTGCAGATATTTAAATAGAGTGCATTAGTGAGATCAGAGTTTTTACTTGCTCAGTTACCTTCTCTTTAACTGTTACTTAAAATTATAAAGTATTTTTTATAGAACACTTTTTAACACAGCCTAGGAACAATAGCTTCAACAGTTTAATCCTCATAGCATTTTGTAAGTAGAATGAACTGTAATTAAATAACAATAATACATTTCTATTGCTGCAAGCCATCAGTTATTAGAAAACACACAATTGCTGACATGTAAATGTTTGGAGAAGCCAACTGATGTTTTATGGATCATAAAGTCAGTACTTACCGTCGCTCCCTGATGGAAATTCCAGAACAGAATTTCTTTATGGCAATGCTGCTGTGAAAATGTTACAAACACCACATTTTTTGTATCCCTTTCTACATGAATAATTTCCTGACTGATCTCTGTTTGCCAATTTGCTTTTTCTTCTCCTCAGCTTCTCTGGACTGAATTCTCATTGCTTGGTGATTTCAGTTTTTTTCTCTGATGCTGCTGGTAGCAAGGTTTCTTTGTCTCTTCCACTTAAATTCCTGCAAGAGCACATCTTGTCTAAAGATACTGTTGCCTTGCTTTTCAAAGACCACACAGGAGAAGAAAATAATGTCTTTTCCCCCCTCTCTTGCTTGCCTCCCCTTGGCAGTATGCTGCCTGAGCATCCCTGTTATATACTCTTGTGTGTGGACCAGTGATGCTGTGAGTGATTAATGTTAGCACTTTGATGACATCAGCAACTAACAACTCTTTCCTTTTTTTTTTTTTTTTTTTAAATTTAAGTAGGGGAGGGAGCAAGTATAGCTTAAAAATAATGAGCAGCAACTTCCCTTCCCTCCCTTTCCACCTCCACCCCCCTCTACTTAGTGGCTTCTTCCCTAAGGATTTTATGCTTTTGTCTCACTGTGGGGGGGAAGTGGTGTTGGTGTGTAATGTTTTTTTCTAAATTCCTTGTTACAGTTTAGAAAGATCCACTAATCCAACATTTACAAGTGGATTGTAAATTTTAGGTACTTCCCCATGAGGTTTATATGGGAGATATATTTTTAGATTGGCTGGCTTCTTATTGTTATGTATCGGCAACTATTTTAAATACCAAAATCATATTTTTGGGGCTTGCTTTTCTATGACAAATTCCTGCTGTGTGAAGAGAGGTTCCCTCCCCTTAACCTCATGGCAGTAAAATGCTTTAACCCAGTCAAAGAAAATTCTCCTAGTGCTGTAGCTGAAATACATAGTTTTGACATGTCTGTTGTGGAGCCCTACATAATTGGAAACATCAAAACCAAAAAATGAAATCTCATATTTTAGCGGCAGTTGTATAAATCATTAATTTATCAGGACATTCAGCTGCTCATATGTTCTTAAGGTTTTACCAGTTCTCTGTGCTGTCTTTGGCCCAGACGTCATTTTTGTATGTGGAGAGCTATGGAAATGCACAGGTTGTACTGGAGGGATACAGCTTTAGGCTGTCCCCTGGTGGGACACATTTGGAATTTGGCCTTTTAGCCAGCTCTGACGTAACAGCAGGACTGTGCTTTGTACTAGGGTTCTAATAGTTATACAAGTGTCTATTTTAGTTTGCATTTAGAATTTTTAAGTTTCTAAGACCTCAGTTGGAAGCTGATGTTTATATAGAGACATACAACATAAATAAAAATATGCATATTCTATTCTGATTGCGTCAAAAGATGATTTTTAAGTCCTTTTATGAGAATAAAATCCTTCAAGATCTTGGTAGCATTTTTTAAATTGAATTCCAACTAGCTTAATGCCGTGTGTTCACAATATCTGGTGTTGACTTGCATGGGTAGTTAGGGCAGGATCTGCATCGAAGGGAATGTTCTTCCTGGAAAATCTTCTGTTACAGCTGTGTGTGAAGTTGAAAGTTTAACAGTATGCTGTTTTCCATTAGACAGAATGAAACTTCAAAAACTGAAGGAAACACAACAGTCCCGTCTGTAAGAAAGGTGGCCAAGATTCCTGCTAAAATTAAATTTCAGGGTATTAGGAGAACAACCCACTTGCAGAAATGGAGGATGCTAAGTTAGCCAACCCTCGCTAATCTGCAGCTTCAGCAACCAGTTCCTAAATCCTCACATCACATCAGTCTGTACAGCTGTGTTCACTTTCATGGAAGTAAACATGACTATGGCAAAGCACCTGGTCCTATTTATACATGTCTTGAAGAATTTCTATGACGTTGGATCCCAAACTTAGATTTGCTTTGATCTTGTGTACAGCAAGGGGTTTTGAAAAAGAAAGATCCTTATTAATTAGTTGCAGAAGGCTTTTTTTTTTTTGTAGTTGAGTACTCAGAGACTTAAAACACCTATTATGAACAGAAAATTAAATTAATTTCTTTCAAGATGTTTTGCACATAAAATGGAAGATGGAGCAATAGAAGCTGTGCTTAAAATTCAAGGATCTGGACATGGCATTGGCTACTTTTACCCTTTTATGCTTGTGTAAATAGAAAAGTACAAAAGAGAAAGTATTTGTGGCTTTATAAATGATAAACGGAAGATGTCTGCTTGAAAAAAACGTGCTCATTAATTTTTCTTGCTGATAGATTTTTGTTGAAGTTCCTGCCTTAAGAGAAACTGCCAGAAGATAAACTGTGTCTTTAAAACTTTCAGAGACAGTGAGATACAAAGTTTTTATTTCAGTGTTAATGTGCTTTAAAATGATATTTAAATTACATTATTATTGAGATAAAGGCAGACAAAATTTTCATTAATCATATCTGTTTTCTTGTTTTAGGCATTGAATTTGGCATATTCCAGCATTTACAGCAACTACAGGAATTTTGTTGGTCCCCCCCACTTTAAAGTCATCTGTAGACTTCTTGGATATCAGGGCATTGCTGTGGTGATGG